TTGCCTGTCTGCCTGCCTGCCTGCCTGCCTGCCTGCCTGCCTGCCTGCCTGCCTGCCTGCCTACCCTGCTTGCCAGCTTGCTTGCTTGCCTGTTTAGCTCGCTCGGCTGGTCTCTGCCTGCATGCTGGACTTTCGCGTGCTCTTGTGTGCGAGTTTGCCTGTGGAAAGAGGCCCGCATCGAGACGTCCTTATAGACTACGTCTATACGTTATTTTTATTTTATCCTTTTCTTTTTCTTTATCTTTATCTTTGTCTTTCCTTTTTTCATTTAGAATATCATCCTACCTGTACTTTTATCTCGTCTCACAAGTCATCACACTTTCCTTAACCATTTGCTCGATTTCTTCATTTCCTTTTAACATAACTTTAAGATCTCTAATTATCTATAATAACTACGGGCCCGAATGCAATCCACACACATACACACATACACACATACACTACCTACACATATCTGTGTATGTAGGTAGTTAGGTTCTTTAGATCGAGATATTTCGTTCTCGTTGACGTCACAAGGGAAAGTTTCTTGCCCTGTATGAACGGCCTCGTTCGTTTTTTCCTTCGAATTTGTGAATAAAAAGAAATTCTTGCAAGGTGCTCTAGCGAGCGTGGCCCCAACCTGAGCTCTCTTCAGCCAAGACTTCACGCGCTCTCTTTTAGTGCGTGACTCAGCGGGACCGAAACGACACACACCGTACGAAACCACCCTCTTCGTTACGTCCCCTTTTCGAGAACAGCCGTTCTTCTCCCGTTCCAGGCCAAATGCAACCAACCGTCGAACCCCGACTTGCTTTTTCTATATATATATGTATGTATATATATATATACATATATATATATATATATCTTATTCTCGGCACTATTATTATCAAGGCTCCTATACTTCCTCGTAACAATCGACAACGATAGAAAACAACGTGTGTGCGTTCAGCCTTTTATACATCTATTATCGTTGCAAGGCTATAGCGATAACAATCGAAGTTTCGAAGAGCCATAGGATATTACACAGGGTGGGGCATTTAAACAGGTGAGAAACACCTTTGGATCTTTGTCAGTATTTGCCAATAGATCATATTAATCTTTGGATTAACTTTATTTCAAATATCAGTTTATATATCAAAAACTTTAGAATCAAACATCCCGCCTGAAAGAAATTCAACTTTCCATACTCACACCAATTTTTTTAAACTTTATCGGTCGATCGTACAAATTGCTTTATTTGTTTCATTACTGTCCTTTTAATCTAGGATGAAATTAGGAAGTTATTGGAGTCCTGATTTTGCATCGATTTTCGAATCCCAAACGAGCATTCGTATTGTCCAACGATGTTCTATCCTCTTTTCTCCTTTCTCTTCCTCTTGCGTCCATGAGAGGTCCACTATTTTATTCAACGAGGGTCAGGTACATGACCTTGGGGTAGGAGTTAATCGAGTTATACCCTCAAGCGCAGGGTGACAAATTATCGGCACGGTCAACTCCTTCCCTTTGTCTTTCGACTCCCGTGTTACTGTCACCTTTTCTTCCCCACTTCTCTTCTCTCTTCTTTCTACCAATCTCCTCTCTCCAACGTGACATTCTTTCTCCACATCCTATCGATCTCCATCTACATCCTAGTTCCATTGGCTCGCTCGAAATAGTACGAGAGGATTAAAGAAGATCGAACAGATCGGATTCAAGTGTAACAACGTCAAATGATAATTAAATAACATTTAGTAGCATAGGTAATGCCAAAGACTAATGTTGGAAATCTCGTCAATATTCCGAATAAAGGAAAAGAAAAGAAGAGAAAACAAAAGAAAAAGAAAAAGAAAGGAAAAGAAAAAAAGAGAAAAATAAAGGCTGAACGTGTCTTGTCCCGTGAAAGCTTCAAACCACGAGCTCCTTTTCGCTGCTCTTCCCATTCATCGGCCATTCATCCTTCTTTTGCGGAAGTGTCCACCAACGATGGTGGTCTCTCATCGCACAAACATCTACCTCTACCTTCTCTGACAAAGGTCCAAGGATAAAGAAAAAAAAGGTATATACGTGTTAGAAAAAGAAAGGTGAACCTCTTTGGGCACGTCGCTTCAACGACAGATGATATCCGAGGATAGGTTAAAAAATCGGACGTACAAGCGAAAGTAAGTTCTCTTGACGAAGCAAGAGCTATCATATAGGACCTTCGAAGTTATCTGTATACATACGTAAATGTGTGTGTTTATTCGCACATATGTCCTGATCGAATACCGACACGAGCTACAAAAGCATCAAAGAAAATGGGACGATACGAAGTGCGGCGATAACGAGAGAGATAAGGAAAGGATTTACAAGCGGTGATCCACAAACGAATCGTTTTCCGGTTTACGCCAGTGAGTCGAGTTATTCGAATCCGCCGGACATAAGCGAGAGTAACCGTCAGAAATAACTTATCTTTAACGTTGGAAACCATTGAGGTTGGAAAAATATGCTAAAATTCCCTGAAGTATCCTTAGAAATTCGTAAAGATTACGGAGATCGCCGATTCGATTTGCAATCCTTCTCGATGCTTGAACGAAAGTGAGAGAGAAAAGAAGGATCCTTCGAAGTATCCAGTTTCGATCGTCTTCTCGACTCTCTCGATATACGCGGCCCGAATACGCGATCACGCACACGCCCCCGTAGGCTCGATTCAGTTTGCGCGCGCACGTGTACGAGTGTGTATATGTGAGATGGTAGAGAGTGAGAGCGAGAAAGAGAGAGAGAGAAAGAGAGAGAGAGAGAGAGAGAGAGAGAGAGAACGGCAAGCAGGCAGCAGGCAAACCCGTAGCCTGTACTTGTACGGGACCTTTAGCGGCTCGTGTGAGTCGGGACGATCAATGACAAGCGCTTCGTCTCTCTCTCTCTCTCTTTCTTTCTCTCTCTTTCGCATACGATTCGGCCTCCTCTACTTCGTCGCAGCGAGCACGGAGGCACGATGGAAGCGATCTCCCTTCGGGCCACGGGCCTGCAAGAGCTCCCTCTCAATCAAGATAGACGCGCGAGAGGCTTAGCACCGGGAAAGGGAGCGAATGCGAGAGAGCGCCGCTTGAATTTCTTCCGACGGTAAGCGCAAAGGAAGGAGAAAGAGAGAGAGAGAGAGAGAGAGAGACTGCGGCCTGTGGAAGCAACGGAGAGGAAAGAGACAGAGAGAAGGAACAGCTGTGTGCAAAAGAAAGAGAGAGAGAGAGGAGACTTACTGCTCGGAGTCCGTGCGCGATGGAGCGACTGAGACGAAACGGGAGAGAGAGAGAGAGAGAGAGAGAGAGAGAAAGAGAGAGAGAGAGATAAAGAGAAGGATCGGCCGCTATAGTGAGACCGCGGAGATGCGCGAAGTAGAGGGAAAGGGAGAGAGAAAGACAGACAGACAGAGAGAGAGAGAGAGAATGATAGGAGGTTATACTGTGAGAAAGAAGGATAGAAGAGGAGACGGCCTCCAGAGAAGAGAGGAGAAATCTATAGTGGTGTGAGACGTGGAAGAGAGACGGCGAACATACCGCCACAGCCTGTCTGTGCCTCTGCTTCGGAAAGTGACTAATGACTAGTCGGCCAGACCTACTCTTCTACCACCCAGCGAGAGAGACCGAAGTGCCCCTACCGAGTCCGTCCTTTTCTCGCTCTCTCTCTCTCTCTTTTTCTCTTTCTCTCTCTATCTCTCTCTCCCTCTCTCTTTTTCTCTTTCTCTCTCTCTCTTTTCTATACCTTTCTCTCTATCTTGTAGCCCGGCGGCAGATATAGCAACGCGAGTAAACGAGTGAGCCAACGCGTGAAAGAGAGAGAGAGAGAGAGAAAGAGAGAGAGAGAGAGAAAAAGAGAGAGAGAGGTGAGCGCCGCTGTTATCTCGCGGCCCTCGACGACGGTCAACCGTGAAAAATGACTATAGCCAGGAAAGAAATATTTTACGGGCGCCGTATGGACGCGTTACACGAGCCGCGTTACGTACGCATCCTCCCAACACACATTACTAAGAGTATCTTCCCCTTCTTCCATCTCCATCTAAACTCCTCATTCTCTTCTCATTCTCCTCGCAAAAGATGCGTCGCGACGCGAGACTGCAGTCGAGCACACTACACGACTATCGATCGGCACGATCGACGACGCGGAACTTGGTACCGTTTCTCACCAAGAGAAGAAGAGACAGACAGATAGAGAGAGAGAGAGAGAGAGAGAGAGAAAGAGAGGAAAAGAAAACTCCCTTCATGGCCCGTTCTTTTCGTGAGAAAGAGTAAACGTTTCCGGCGTTACTTCCGCGCTTGGAATCCCACGCCTTTGGTGTGCTACCGACGTAAAACTCAAACTGCCGGCATGAACACAACTGCGAATCCACGATTCTTCCATTTCCGAAAGCCCTTCGAGAAACCTCCGAGTATCTTCTATAGATACATGGAATTTTAAAAAATCGAATGTTTCATGAATAAAAGAAAAAAAAAAAAAAGAAAAAGATATTAAGGAGGACCACAAGATGATAGACTATACCGAGATATATCGATAAACAGCCTGTTTGTTTTTACATATCTCAGAAGCATAGAGACGTTTCGAGAGCATAATTTCTGTTTAATTAGATGCAATTAAGCGAGCACCTTATCTTAGTACGCCGTACTCTTTTCCTACGAACCCGGTGCCCCGAGATCTCTCGCACTTTTTCTTCAACGTGCCGAGAGATAAATTCCTCGCTCGTAAACTCGCGCGTCTTCCTTGGTAGAGTAAAAAAGACAAAGATAGGAAGAAAGAAAAAGAAAGAAAACATCGCTTCTTGATCCTGGATAGTCGCGGTCGCGATTACGTCGTAATCATCGCCGTTGCTAATGGCTCGAGACGATCTTTTCTTCGTATCTGTGGTTTGATGTGATTCTAACTTTAGGATATACATATAACAATGTCTTTTAATGCTCTAATTTCTACTGTGTTTCAGCTTTCGTTTATCGTTCGACTTCGAACCCGTATCTTGTATAAGAAAGAATCAGCGAAAATGAAGAAAAGCTAAAGTAATCTCTTTAAGCACTCACCTTGTTATGTGGCAACTGCGTGGGCACGTAGAGAGGAGGATCCAAACCGGGATTGGTCACCGCGTGACGTCCCACAATCCTGTCCGCTGGTTTTGCATCGTATCCTTCCGGTTGACCAATATGAAAGCCTTTGCTCTTTACCCAAAATCTGAACTTGCTGTTCTCCGCACTGTTCACTTCCTCCCCACGCAGAGTTCGTAAGATACGCGCATACTTTTTGATCGTGATCGTTTTCGTCTTTGCTAAGTCACCGTAAGTCTTTATCACCCAGGGCTGATAGGCATTGAACATGCCATCGTTCTGAAACTTCTTCGGTAGAGCCACGCTATCCGTTGTCTGGTTTTGTCCCTTTTGCTGTGCCGAACCGTAACCGTTCGCATTCACGTTCGCCGACGAGATACCTGGAAATGCCATCGTCTTTACACCGGAGGAATTCGAATCGAGATTCGTGCCGGTGGTTTTATTGGTGCCGTAACCAGAGGCCAGAGAGTTCGTGGCGTTCGAGGAGCCTAAGGAACCGCTGGTCATGTTGGATATATCGAGATAAGACACCGACGAACTCTTACCGAGATTCGTCGCGTTCCCAACGAAGGTCGCCATTGACGTCGACATGTACGGTGGTATCGGTGTCGTCATGCCAAGGTTGGAAGTACAGAGTCCGCTACTTTGCCCGTTCGTCATGCCTAATCCCGCGACCGAGGCGTAAGTCGGCACGTCTGACATGTTCGACGTGGTTGACCAGCTGCTCGCTGGAACGTTCGAAGCATGATCACCATTGATGTTGGAATTATTACTACTGGATGATATCTTCGTTTGATGGTTCGATCTGGAAAGCGAGCTCCCACGACTTTTGCTCGATGAATTGGTCTCCGTCAGAGAAACGACTCCCGAAGTATTCGAGGCTGACGAGGTCGAGGAAGCGTTATTCTTGCCAGAATTGGTCGTCGTACCACGTGACTTCTTTGCCGGTGGCTCCTCTCGAGAACCATTCACCGAATTTAAGTTCCCTTGAGACGGACTATTGTTATTCTCTGATCTGGAACGTTTGCTAGATGCAGAAACGTTCGAGGAGGAATGACCGGAAGGCGTCGGTGAATTGTTCACCGGTACCCTACGGCGAAGTCCCATCGTCGCGGTCGCCATCGTGCGATTAATGCATCTAGAACGCACGTGCGCACGATTTCGTTTGCGTGCCTTCTCGTACGACGACGTTCTCGACGAGAGAACCGACGACGTTACTTCTGCATTCGTTCGATCGTTACGAAGTTCCACGGCACTTTTCGATTTTACTTTTCCTTCTGGGATCTCAACGACTTCCGATCACGATATCCACCAGTGATTACTCCGTTCGTCGGGACGATCAGGAAATCGGTTGCAGTCAATACGAGCGTAAGAAGAGGAAGAAGAAGAAGATTCCACCGAAGGAAATCCCGTATCCTAAAAAAGAAAAGAAATAGGAGAGACGTGAGAAGAGGAAATTAGCTATGCGCGATTAAGCGGCGGAAACGTTTAAACGGGGGCGTCGCTAATGGACTGCCAGCCGAGTAGGCGGGAGCTAGTACCGTAGGAGGGGTAGATTATAACTGCCAGAATATAATATGTGGCAGAGATTCACCTGGAAAATTGACTTTCGGTCCGATCGTTATTCCTCGCGAAATAGACTCACTGAAGCCTACTTTGCCAACAAACAGCGATCGCTAACGGAACAAAAGCTTACTTTTCAAAAGCTTACAATGGAAAATCGTATGGTATACTCTAGTACTTTTTTTTCTTTATTTTCAATCGATTTCCAAATGGAAAGCAAGAAGGTTGACCTTGTCTATGCATTGTTCATCGTATATCACATTCGAAAGTTATCGATGTCGTCGTTGAATCGAAAGGTCGCGAGTCTCAAGAGAAAAGAATGAGAAAAATATTGTATGGAAGAAAAGATGTCGCGAGTATAATTTGCAGCAGATAATCGTGAAGAGACGAAACGTGAGAGGGAGAGTATAGTACAGGTCTAATTCAATAAGGCCGATCGAAGCCGTCCCGACGCACGATAGTCGGCTTAATGGCCTCGCCACGATGTATCCGCACGTTCTTTCTGGTGGGCGCGAAAGTGGCACTCGCCGCGGGAGCTAGAGGCATGCGAGCGACGAGTCGAGTTGAGTCTGGCCGACTATCCAGACGAAAATGGGCCTCGAGTACCTCTACGAAATTCGTTATGCCGAGACTCACTCGATCAGAGTCTTTCTCCCCCCCCCTCTTTCTTTCTCTCTCTCCCTACTACTTTATTACGAATTCCTGATATTCACCGGCACGGACAATCTAATCGAATGATTTCATTTAAGATTAACAACAAAACGAAACAACACTAATTCAATTTTTTTAATTGTACTTTTGTTGTAATAAATAATAAAATATTTATTCGCGCTAGAAACGAAGTAGAAACGAGTCGATTTGAGAATAAGAGAAGAAAGGTCGGAAGTGGAGGAATTTCGGTGGTGTAGTCGACGAGAAAGAGAGAGAGAGAGAGAGCTGTCCCGGGAAAGGCAGATCGTAAGGTCTCAGGCCAGCACACGAAGCCGCGAGTCACGTAGAGGCGCGGGATCGGCGAGTATTATGGCGCGCGTCCCTACACGCATACTGCTCCACCTCCACGAGCTTCACCTCCAGCGCCTCCTCCACCTCCGCCGCCTGCACCACCTCCACCACCTCCACCAACGCCAACGACGCCGACGCCGCAACCGCCGTCGCGTTGTATATACGTATTACGCGGCAGGCACATATAGCGCGAGCGGCTGCCGCGCACCGCACCGACCCGGTGTCACGCTACGTGCTTCCTGCCCGCAGGCCGTGGCGCGACGAAAGGCCTTATGTCCGCCCGCCTCGTGGGACGCTCGTGATCGCAATGTGTAATCAAGCTCGCCACGGCTGCTGTGTATTACCGCGTAAAGCGTATACTGCGCATAGGCTTCTGCCTTACTCGTCGTATACATATATGTACACGCGCGCGCGAGCGCGCGCGAACACACACACACACACACACACGTGTTATGTGTGTGTGGATGTATATATGTGATCACCGAAGCATATCTATGTACGCATTCATGCATATAAGCGTATGTATGTACGTATGTGTGTATGTGTAAAGACACACTTTTCTTTTTTTATTTCTCTTTCTTTCCCTTTTTATTAAAACATTTTAAAAGTTACGGAAAAATGTCTAGGTCTCTTATTGTTGAAAAAAATCAAAGGAAGGAAATCGAAGAATGCTTTGCTTCAGCGATTTTTCAGATTTATTCGCTCTTCCACGTATTACATACTTACATACGGGCAATGCCGCACCCGAGAGTCTTTTTGCGATCGATTTCCCGAGCCGGCAGATGATACAATTATAGAAGCCACCGTGGCTACTCTATGAATCCTATCTTTGGAACGAACAATGGATGCCCGTAGGATAAAACCGATTGAGCGGGTAGTTCTCGAGATAGCTTTTCGCGCGATCCGTTCACTCGTTCACCCGGCCCGTTAACGGCTTTCACATCTCGACGATCTCTGTTAATCGATCGTAGAAAGCAAGCATGACGTTCGTATCGCGATATCCCTTTGTCTAACAGTTTTCTACTTGGAATCCATCGATACGTCATTCTTCGATCCAATGATTTTATCAGATTAAAATTATTATCAATGATCTATAAAGAAAGGGAGAGAAAGAGGAAAAGAAAATGAAAGAGAAAATTGAAAAGTCGATAAGAACTCAGACTTTAAAACTAAATTTTTTGCCAAAAGAAGAAACAAAAATTAAGGACCAAAAATTCGCTAAGAAAAAGATAGGGATAAGCGAAGAGACGGTGAATTTCCGCAACAAAACCGAGTCTGATCCACCGCAAATAAGTGCCTTTCTCGTGGTATCCGTTAGACGGTACTCCGGCCACGAAGAAAACGTCGAAGGCACACGAGCGGCAAGTCTCGAGCGGCGGTAAGTTGAATTCCCAAACGGGCGGGTGTGGCGACCGGCCCGCAGCGGGTACCGGAACGGATGCCGCTATCTTCACCGTCGGCTACCACGTATCCTTTGCTCCATTTTAACCGCAACTTTGCGCCATGTGAGGATTATCCATTGTGTTTATCCTTTATTCACGCGAAAAATTTTATCCCAAAAATTATTTCATATGACTTATCGAAAATATTTTCTTTTTTTCTGTTTCTTGTTTTTTTCTTAAAGAAATAAAAAAGATTTCTACGTACGTAAGAAACTTAAGAAAAGTTGATCGGAATATTTCTTCCTTTCTTCATCGAATTTATCGAGTATCAATGAAAATCAATCAGGTTATTCCACAAATACATTGCCGATCTCCGATAACACGAGATATTTATCACTAAAGAATGAATTCCCATTGACGAGTGACTCGCTAAACTTTTTATCAATGCATCACAAGCTCGAACGATCGTCGATCGATACCATCGAAAAACACGAAGAAGTCGGCGAACTCGATCGAAAGCCAACAAAAACAAAACTGTGACGAAAGAAACACGGAAAACACACGGACGTGACACAGACCTGATTGCCTCTCCTTGCCGATTTCTTCTTCTCTTCCGTAAATCCGTCGTGGCGCGTGTTCACGTTCAGAATGTGTCACTCTTTCCTCCTCTGGCTTTTCGACTTTCAAACGCACCCCTCCGGATCCGTGAAAGGAGGAAGAGAGAGGATGGTAAAAGGAGTGAGATCGAGATAGAAGAAGAGAGAGAAAGAGAGTGAGAACAAGCGAGGGACAACCACTCTTGTGCGTTGGCCGACGTTGGTCGAGACCTCTTTCTCTTTTCTTTTATTCCTTTTTTCTTCTTCCTTTCTGTCGGAAGCTACCACTACAAGCTCTGCTTCAAGCGTACGCGGCAAAGTCGACTCTTGTGCACGGTAAGATCGCACGAGGAAGAAGTAAGAGGCGAAGGAGCGTGGAAGAGGAGCAAGAGCCAAAGAAGGAGGTAGGGTAGGAGAAGGAGGGAGGTTGTCGAAGAAAAAGAAGAAGTAAAAGAAGATGAAAAGGGAGAGACAGAGGTGGAAGGAAGAACGAACAGCGGTAGACTCGATGACTCGGTGGCCGAGCGGTATCTCACCCGCGAAAAGTGTCCCGCGATCAGGTGACAGCGGGAGTATACACCGACGGTGTTCGAGTGTGATAGAAAGAGAGAAAAAGAGAGTGAGAGAGAGAGAGAGAAAGAGTGGCCGCAAGTGGGAGGGAAATGGGTCTCCCTCTCTCCGTCTAGTAGGAAGGACGGTGGAGGACGCTTGCTCAGCGTGCGCGCGCGCGAGAGAGAGAGGGAGATCGAGACGTCTGGCAGCGTGAGGAAAGAGGGAAGGAAGTGAAGAGGTGGAACGTACAGGAGGTTAAATGCGCCCGCGAGCGAGCGAGTGAGCGAGCGAGGAAGAGGAAGAACTGAGAAAGAAGAAGACGAAGAAAGAACATGGATAAAGGGAGGTGGAAGTGAGAGAGCGATAACCAGACTCTCATAAGTTCCGAGAGTATGTGACTGACGGCGAGGAAGAAATGCTATTGAGAAAGAGAGAGTGGGCGATAAGGATGACCAGAGTTACTACTGGGCTCACAAAGTGGAGTATACATTGGAAAGGGAAAAACGAGGAAGACGCGCGGTATGGTGTGAACAGTAAGGGAGGAGGTAAAGCTGGTGGAGTTGAAGGTGGAGATGAAGGAAGAGGTAGAGGGAGAAGTGGGAGATCGGCAGTCAGGCTGGCAGGCAGGCTGGCAAGAAGGCCGGCAGGAGGGACGGAAGGGCTCCCTGATCGCTTCTGAGTGCAAACGGTTCGACGTGCGGTGGGACACTGGCAAGCAGTCGGGCGGGCGGGCTGGCTGAAACTGCTGTGGATAGCGGGTGGCGAACGGCGCGGTGCGATACTACTCTACGGAACGGAACGGAACGGGATGGGATGGGACGGGACGAGACGAGACGAGACGGGACGACGGGCCGAGAGAGCCGGGCCGGGACCCCTATCCACCACGAATACTACACAGGCTCGCACGTGGATGCGCGCGCGCACACATGTTCAAGGGGACCGCCACCGTGTGCGCGCGAGCGTAGAGCCAAGCGGGAGAGTGAGAAGTAGAGAAAACGAAAGACAGAAAGAGAGAGAGATCCGATCCCGATGTAGAGGGGATCCAACGGCGCGCATCGGAGAACGCAGCGGCGCACAGGCGCGTGCTCACACAGATATCGTCTACTCTCGGCATCGTCGTCGTCGTCGTCATCGTCGTCATCGTCGTCATCGTCGTCATCGTCGTCATCGTCGTCATCGTCATCATCGTCGTCATCGTCGTCATCGTCGTCATCGTCGTCATCGTCGTCATCGTCGTCATCGTCGTCATCGTCATCATCGTCATCATCGTCGTCATCGTCGTCATCGTCGTCATCGTCGTCATCGTCGTCGTCGTTGTCGTCGTCGTCGTCGTCGTCGTCGTCGTCGTCGTCGTCGTCGTCGTCGTCGCTTGGTGGTGTCGACCTGATGGTGGCAACGACGACGGCGGCGGTGGTGGCGGCAGCCGAACAAGAGGCGGAAAAGGCGAGCATAGCAGCCAAGCTCAGCATACGAGCATCGCTCCGCTACGTTACTACGCCAACGGCTCTGCTGCCTGTCCTCGGTTCGACTCGGTCTCGCTCGGGCGCGAGCACTCCCGTCGCCTCCTCTTTCACCTCCTCCTCTTCCTCCTTCTCATTCTCTGGCTTCACCGCCGCCGCCTCCTAGTCTCTCTGTCGCTCGAGCCGATGCTCTCTTCCGCAAACGCGTGTGGACCGTCTCTCTTTTTCCTTTCCCTTCCGTCTTCCTTCTTTCCTTCTTCCTTCGCTTTCTAACTTTACTTCCCCCTTCTTTGACTTTTCTCATTCTTACTCACGCGTTAACGCTTACTCGATTCGTTCCCCCTTTTCTTTTTCTCTTTTTCTCTGTCCTTCTTTCTTTCTCTTTTGCATCCTCTCTCGTGTTCTTCTAAACCTCGCACCTCTCTTCCGTGCAAACCCATCACTATGGGCCTACCTTCGTTTCTTTCTCTCTATCTTTCCCTCCTCCCTCACTCTTTCCCATCTTTTGCACATGTGCGCGCTTACATCGAAGAGCGGTAGCATATCGTAGCTCTCTCGCCTGTTTGTGCTTGTTTTCCTGCCTATCAAAGCTTTTCTGTACCCGACAGAGAATGACAGATTGGAAAAGAGGGAAAGAGAAGAGAAGAATGAAGGAAAGGTGCTGAAAAAGGGCAGATAAGAGATTAGACAACTAGGATATAACGAATGTCTACTATCGAACGTCGACGCATTTAACGCGATAAGAACTTCGTTCAGGAATTTTTCTCACTCAATATTTTTTTCCCTCGACAGATTCAACAAATCGTAGCGATCGGAAAAGATCGGTTTTTCTCTCTAATTGACGAATTTATGTGACCAACGCTTCGATGTGTCAATTACTAACATTTATTCTATCAAGAACAGGATACAAAAAAAAATTGAAAACCAACTTCCAAACTGCTTCTCGTTATCCTTCTTCGAATAGAGCCATATCGTCCTGTCTTAAATACAACAAATATGACGTCCATACATTCGCAATGCCTTCGTACACGATCGACTCTCCTTGTACTTTTGGGAATTCGTCGTGAAACGACTCGGAGCCGAGATGCTTAGCTATTCCGACCAAGTATGCGCCCACACGAAGTCGACGAATAGTCGGTGAGTCCTCCAAGTTCCCTTAATCTCAGCCACCTCCACGCCCGAAGCCAACAGAGATGGAGACGACCGACTTCGTGGAAGTTATTTCCTCGCTTTAGAAAGGCCTTTCGCATCGAAAGAGAACGCTTCGCTATCGAACTTTGCTAAATAGAGCGTCTCAAACGTAGATTTGTTCTCTTTCTCTGTAGATATTTATTTTTACAAATCGTCGCAATAATAACAATCAGGCTGGAAATTTTCTTCCCAAAAGTATGCCTTCCGATCGCAATAGAAAGTATTTTAAAGTGACTTTGGATCCCGGCAAAGTCGGTTACGTGAGACAAACGGCTCTCGCATAATATTAAAGAAGGTTGGAGAAAAAAGGAAAAGGGAAAGAGAGAAAAAGATACAAATGTACGCTGTGGGAGAGCTGCGCCCCCTTTTATAGTAGGCATGAGGCGAAAAGAGGGGCCAGCTGTGATCTATCCTTGTTCGGGCTGCTCTAAAGGGGGTAGAGGATTATTAAAACGGAGAAGTGGGAGACTTCAACTGCCACGGGCCTCTACTGCGGAACACAGCCTTTGCTAGGAAACCGAAGCTCGGCTCTTCCCCGCTTTTCATCCTCTCCCCTCTCCTGCGCTTTCTCTTTCTCTCTCTCACTCCTCCTTTATCGTCCTGATTCGGTATTCAAGCTCGAGCTGCGGTGCATGCTCGGTGCATAAAATACCCCCTACAATGATCCCAATCAACCATGGCAGTCATGCGAGGATCTCACCAATCAGGACTGCTTTGATGCCAAGCGACAAAAACTCCGCACTAATCCGATATGGATTTCTGTTTCTATCGATTCGCTCGATAGACTCTGTCGATCCGTATTTGCCGAAAGATTCAGAGTTTTTTTACGAACGATATCTCGTGCAGACGATTAACGTTTGAACTGACCGATACGCTTGCGAATATCGAATTTATTAAAGTTCGTATCACGGAGAATTTCAACTCGAAATTATTCCGAAGCCGCTTACTGCGAACTCGAGTCTCTGCTACGTTTTAATCAAATCTACAGAACGTAAGAAATTCCCGTCAAGTAACTAATGCGAAACCATTAAACTCGTAAACTTTATGACGTTTCCAAAAGAAAAAGAGAAGAGAAGGGTCTTTGAAGTTTCGACACCTTATGACTTCTTCGACACCTTGCATATCGTCCACACAAAAAGATACAATAAATCAGGTAGCACGTGTCTCTGGAACGGACTACCTGCTAAGAGTTTCTTTCTAGTACTTTGTTTAGGGCCCGACCATTGTGGGCCCGTAAACTCTTAGTAAAGCTATTACAGCAACCCGTTTCTGACCCGGTCTACGTCTTTACCTTGGATTATTTTTTCAATGATGACGTATCAAAATTCTACTGTACAATTATTCCACAGAAACGCATCTATCGTCTCGATCCAAATTCATTTGGCCAAATTTTACTTCGCTTGTTCACATTGAAGAAATAACTTACAAAGCAGTTACCTGTTTTTGGAAATTGCTCCTTCTTGTCGTATCGGTAAACACAATCATGCGAGAAACTCCACAATTAGCCTTATCTTCTACTGTAGCCTTGCATGCTGGAAACTTTCGCGATACTTTCTTTCCTGGATTATCGTGCTGTCGCGTATACTGATGCAGCATTCCCACCCGTCCTGCAAAACCTCTACTTTAGATTTTATACGAGCTTAAAAAATTCCCTAGGTAGGTCCAAAAGTCTACCGCATGAACATACAAGTTTAATCACGGATATTGCCTCTTGAAATTACAAACCTGTAAAAATGAATGTAACTACTTGTTTTGAATTAATCCGTTTACGTCGATTCCTTGGATCGAAAAAAATCCTTCCAACCGATTTTCGCCTATACGTGTAAAGAAATCTAAGAGCTGAAAAACTGAAACACTTTACAAAATTTTATTATCAATATCTTCTAAATTTGAAGATTCTCAGTGTATATTTTCCTAAATATACATTTAAAAATTTTCATTTTATTCGTAAATTATTTTCGATGTCTGTAGAAATCCATGGTCAGAGGAAGAATATAATCCCTGAAAAGGATAGATGATCAACTATATAACATTAAAATCTCTATGCTCTTTTATAGAACTAACAATTAACATAGTTAAATAGCAAACAAATATAAAGGAGTCATGAAAAGTCGTGAAGCAAAGCAAAGATTTATTCCCCTAGCTTTGTTGGTGTCGTTAACCGCTTTTTATGCTAACGGTATTAAAACGGATTACTCCATTGTTACGAATTAACTTAAAGTAATGTAGTTGTATAAAGCAATGTTTAAAGGTGATGTACGGCGTTGGTCCATAGCTTTGTCGTTGAATCAATATAATATCTTTCCTATGAAAAGCTAAATTATTATACCGATAAGAATAAGTAAAAATATGAAAAAAAGAGGAAAATATATTTGATAAAAAGGATACGATGTAAAATTATGAATTGTCTTAAATTTTCCCTGAAGAAAATATTTGAATCAATGACATCTGACTCGATCCACTGTTTCAGTTAATTAAACGATCACCATCCGAGCACAAAACATTTAAAATCATGACGATTAGAACCATATCACTTTTACAACTGTACTATTTTAAAAAAGAGTATAGAAAATTTTTATTTTAATCACAAATATCACTGAACGCAACACTCGAACGATACGACACTTAATTATGAACGTTCTCACTTATATACAAAGTTTCTATATTTGTATCATTTTTGAATCATTTCGAGATTTTTCTGATCGAATCTCTTCGAAGTGTCCATTGACGTCGTGTCTTTCGAACTGATCGCAAAAATGTATATTCTCTTTCGAGCATCATAACTCGAATTCATTTTCTTTTTCTCCTTCCTCCTTGGCCTGGACCAAACTAACCTCTCGGCATTTCGATTTGCGCTCTCTGGACCAGTTTTTTTTTATCCCGTTTTATTCTCACGAGACGGAAGAGAAAAGGAACGGATGCTGAGAACTGGACAACGGTCAAGCCTTGTCCCGTTCATCGTATCGCGGATACATGGAGTGGACATAGTCAAAGGTTGGGTGAGGTTTGCTGAGTATGCAGCAAAGGGGAATGATGAGAGTAAGGGAGAGGGTAAGATATAAACTGGAGAGAAAAGCGACAATGAAAGAATTTCTTGAGATCGAAAAGGGTTAAGGAGCATGATTCTGGTTTGATTTCTACTCCTGCCGGTGATGCTGGTTCCTTGCGTGAGAAAAGATCACTCGATTCGACCTTTCTATCTCTTTGAACCCTTCCGCGATTTTCTAATGCTTTTC